GAGGGGACGTCCCCTTCCCTCATCCTCGTAGCTTGTTTAACATGTTGATATAAGAATGTTTCCAGGATGAGGTCTACAAATTTACAGGTCCAGAAATCTTCTGTTTTTGCTTCACATGCTTCCCAGTCTATGGATTTCAAGTTGAAGTCGCCGACTATCAACAGTCGTGAACTATCGTTATCCGCTCTCGCTATGATCTCTCTCATTATTGTTATAAGACCTTCTCGTTTACTATCTAGCTCCTCCTTTGACCATGTGCTGCTTAATGGTGGACTATATGCATTTATGATCATTAGTTTATCATCCTCATGGCAGATCTCTAGTGCTATTATGTCAACTTCTTGTGGATTGGCAGTCATTATTTCGTTCACCTTTAGGTGTTCTTTCACCAGCACAGCAACGCCACCGTCATTCCTGATTTTTCTGTCCCGTCTCCAAATTGAGTAGCCCCTTGGGAATATGACCTCATTTAAAATAGCATCTTTAAGTTTTGTCTCCGTGAGTGCAACAATGTCTGGTGTCTGCAGCTGTATTATATCACTTAACTCCAGTATCTTTGATCTTACTCCATCTATGTTGGTGTATGCAATCTTGAGGAACTTGTTCCCCCTCTTCTTATTTTTCACTCCCCCTTTCTCTAATGATGTTGTTGGTTTGCCTTTATGTACCACTTTACTGGCCTGCCTACCCCTATCACTTTGTAGAAAAAAGAATTTATTTCTTCTTCATTCCTGCTCTCATTTAAACGTTTTGCCTCGGCGAGGTTCAGTTTCAGCTTCTCTCTATCTTCTTTTGAAAGATCTCGTCTTAACGACCACACTTTCCCATCCTCATCACTTTGTAATTTTCTAGCATTCCTTAATACTTCTTCCATTTGTTTGGTACCATTTAGGGTGATCCTCAAAGGTCGATCTTTCCCTTTTACATATCTGCCTATTCTCCTGTAATCGCAGACATTCTCTATGGTTGTAAGACCTTCCACGAGGCCAACAATTTTTTCTACTACTTTTTCTTCTTCTACAGCTCTTTCTGACCTAGATGTTATCTCCTTTTCCTTGCAGCCAAAAATCATCAGGGACTTACTCCGATCAACTGTGTTTTGCACCAACTTCGGGTTAGATGCCAATTCTTTCCCCACTTCTAGCCTAATGTTTGTAATGTAATGTTTGTGGTGTGGGGTTTTCCGTTCCCTCTCTCCGCACGTGCTTTGTGGGCGTCGGCTCCTCCCTGGGCTCGGTTCCTTGTCCATTGTGCCCGTTTTCTGGTACGTCTGTCGTCATTCAGTTGAGCTTCCTTCCGGGCTTTTCTAGGGCTTGTGGGTCCTCTTCCCGGCAGCTTCTGGGTGTTGGCCTTTTTGTTCTTTTGTGCATATCTCTTCTCTTCACAATGCCTCGGCGCTACTAGTTTTCCTGGGAGCAATTTTGCTCCTCTTAATGAGTCTTTTCGCTCCTGCCCTTCTGCGGGATGTTGGTGCGGGGCGGCTCCTTATGCGAGTTCCTTCCATGTCAGCTGCACTTGTGGAGGTGGACTTGCACACTTGTGGCATTTTCTTTTCCCTCCTGGGGCTGTCATAGGATTGGCTTACGGAGGTTGTAGGGGCGCTTGGGGCCGTTCCTGGGTCTGGCACCTTGGTTTCTGCTGCTAGCCTTCGGTATCGATATTCCTTCTGCACCGTTTCGCAGGTTGTATCGTGCGTTTTTACACCTCCGGCCTGCTTATGCACTACCTGTGTCGTCCTGGTCTTTGGACAGGGTGTTCTCCTGTTTTTCTTCTCCTTGGTGGTTGTGGCTCCTTGGGGTCAGGTTTGCTTTGCCTCGGTTTTCTTTTTGTGTTGGCATTCACCTCTGGGGGTCGTGTGGCAGAGCTTCTTGCTCTTCTCAGGCGCAGTGTTTTTGGCTCCTATGGTCGTGATCATAGGTTTCTTCGTCTGTGGCCATTCTCCCTTTTTTCTGGCGAATGATGTACCTTGGGTTGTTGTCTCGACTTCGTATTGAGGAGTGATTCACTGACCGCCTCCCGGGTATGTCCCCTTGTTTTCTTAGGTAGTCTTTGGTGAGGTAGCTCCGGGGAGCCATAGGGGCTCCCCCCAGAAAAAATGCGTTGAATGTAATGAAACGCCATTTTCTGGGTGAGTCCCGGAGGCTCCCTGGCACCCTCCCGCCCTCCGGTCGGCGGGGTTTTTTCGCGGTTTTGATATCCAGCTTCAGAACCGGCGCGGGGGGTCTGGGGCTCCCCCTTCCCCCTCCCGGGGAGGGGGGAGCTGCGCAGACATGCGGCGCGGCTCGTGTGACGTCATGCTTGTTAGTTCGTTTTCCTGGGGGAGTTCTGTCCACTCGTTTGTCGATTTTTTTTGTTAACCAGAATAGGGATTTGTTTTGTGGCGCTTACCTTTCTGGGTGCCTGTCCCGGTCGATGGCAGATATAGAATGCTCCAAATCACATGTGCATTTCTATGGACCATTGCTTCCCGTGCCTCTCTGAGGGGGCCAGGTTCTGGCTCGTGGTCCCCGGTAGGCCTAGAACTCCACCCACATCGACTGATGCAAAATAGTTAGGGTATCCATATCAGCCATGGATAGCTCCGGGGAGCCTCCGGGACTCACCCAGAAAATGGCGTTTCATTTCATTCAACGCTGGTTTTTTGTTTGTAAAATGATAAATTCCCTTCCCTGAACATGTCTATGTAAAAATAAATACCAAAATCCACTTACTGTACTTTGGCTGTGGGGACGTGGACAAGGTGCGCTGTGACGTCATCAGGGCCTGGTCGCCCGTGTGTGAAGCTCCCAGACACAGTCACGCAGACATGTGTCAGTAATGTGTCCAAAATAAATGTTTATTGTCGCAATATTACCTGTTAAAAATTCACTAAAATTACAATATGTACAGTTTCACACACTATTTACACAGTAACATATTGTATTACACACTCAGTACTCTGGAAGTGAGTAATAATGCCCGAAACGCTGCGCGTTCTAGTGGCTTTACAAGACTGTAATTACCATATTTGTATCCTCACATTCCTTATGTACATTCTTGTATATGCATAAATAAATAAATAAATAATCAAGGAAGTAGTCCATGGTACACAGCACAAATTTGCTCTCGTTGCACCAGGTACAGATAGATTTTCGCTACCTGTTTCTTCGTTCTGTATGCTTGCAAATAACGCACTCGCGTACACCCTTGGCTTTCGTACTTGTAGGTGGTATGTAGCCAAGCCTGTGAAGTGTAAGGTAGTCTTGAAAAGATTCTAGGAAAAGATCAATAGAAAAGATCACTTTGTAAGGTGTCAGTCAATCTGGAAGAGATCTAGCCATTCTCGAAGAGTGTCAGTCAATCTGGAAGAGATTCAGCCATTCTGGAAGTGATTCAGATATTCTTGAAAATATATATGGAAAACACCACCATGGAAGCCACTTACACTGTTCATCTATGCTACTTGTATCAGCTGCATCATCACAACCCAGAAAATGATTCATCTATGTATCATCTATATAAATTGGAGATGGTATAGGTGGGCAAGAGTGGGGCTCAGAGCTACAACTGGATATGCTCGCTGTATCGTCCTCTTAGGTGCTGTATCATTTGCATCCGACCTTTGTGTTAGGTCCTTATTGCGCCTAGCTTCATCAATATCTTGACTCATATGTTCTTCAAGCAATAAGGTCTGAATTTCACCAACAGAGCGCTATCTTTCAACACCGCGTCGGACAGTTGTTTGGGAGCCAAAGGCCCGTGCGCCATCCATGGTGGCTCAGTCGGTACTAACCCAGCCAGCAGCCCTAGGACATTCTGGGAATTTATTCCAAGATGGCTGCCTCTCACTGGAGGTCCCAAGAGTCCATTTCGTTCCCAACCTACTGCGAGCGCGTTTCGACCGTGTATGAAAAAATATAATATACTTTTGTCGGTTGGCGCAGTAATGGGCGAACGGCATTTGTCATTTGGGGCAGTACAGTGGTTAAGGACCTGCCCAAAACACTATGCATGTTAGTGGCTTTACAAGATTGTAAGAACACCAATGTTATGTATTTTCACAAACCTATTGTACCTTCTTGTATATAAATAAAAAAATAAATTACTCAAATTTTACTGCAATGTACCTATTAATATGTTTTACTTTTATTAGATTAAGGACCTGCTCGAAATGCTATGCATGTTGGTGGCTTTACAAGAATGTAAGAACACTAATGTTATGTACTCTCTCAACCCAATGTATCGTCTTGTATGTAAATAAATAAATAAATAAATAAATAAATAGATAAACTTAACTTATTCCTAATGAAATACACATTCCTGGAAGTTTTACACTAATTCTATGTCCACTAATTACAATATAATTTATCTTCCCAAGTGTGCAATTCATTACAATTAATATCTCTTCCCAACCTTCTAGAAGTTGGTCTCCGTTGTATGTGGATCGGAGTCAGTCTAAACTTGTATATTGGGTCAGCACAGACATTTGAGAGATACCACACATCAACACCCATTGACATTTATCAGCAACTATGATTCCAGTTCCTACCTTCACAAGACAGTTAAACCTTGCTAGAGAGCAGACAGCCTGACTCAGGCCGCATTGAGTACTCAGATAGCTTCCATGTTATCGTCTCAAATTCTAATTCTTCCACCCCATCTGCATTCAGAGCGCCGTGCTTATACTCATCCTGCATCTGAGCTCTCTACCCCCCCAGCCTCACGCTCTCTGCTCTGCTCCAGGCCTCTTCTTAGCTATCACAACATGTCATTACATCCCCAACAAACTGACTGCTGTAACCAAGACTGTACTAAATAAATAAATAAAAAACACTAAAATCTTTGTGTCTTATCATCCAAATATGTACACGTAATCATACGTTACAGGGTTCTATTTTGTAGCTTTCACAATGAATAAGAAGGTTTGTGTCCGCTGCCCAATTTGTCTTAAATTTTGAAGTATACATGCATTGAGTTATATTTCGCTAACTGAATTTATCCTTATATATTTTTTCCTTTAGGGATATATTCGAGAAAATGAAGAATAATTATGCTAAGGTATTCAAGGACTACCCACTTGCTTTTGACTCGGAAAGCAATGCATACAGTTCAGGCGTCATTCCAGGTGTTGATGGTAAATGCTTTGAGGTAAGTTACTGGAGCTGAATAGTAGAAAATCTAGAATTTTACTAAGTACAACAAAGTTTATATTAGTCTTAACAGTTTAGCCAATAGATATTTTGTTGAAAAGTTATGGTCAAAATTAAAGTTGTGATTCATTTATATTGATTTATTTATAGTGTCTTTTACAGCTTCATATAGCTGATAAACTGATTCAGTAGTTGTTGCTAGAAAGTGTAACTTATTTTGAGGTAGAGAAAATCCAGTGTTATTTCTGTGGAGAGCCTCTTTGGCTCCCCGGAGCTATACTGGGCTGATGTGTATATATATGACCGTGACATATATATATATACACATATATACATATGTAATTACCTAAGTGAAGTCATAGGATGAGAGCTACACTTGTGGTGTCCCATCTTCCCAGCACTCTGTCATATAACGCTTTGAAACTACTGACGATCTTGGCCTCCACCACCTTCTCACCTAACTTGTTCCAACCGTCTACCACTCTGTTTGCGAAAGTGAATTTTCTTATATTTCTTCAGCATCTGTGTTTAGCTAGTTTAAATCTATGACCTCTTGTTCTTGAAGTGCCAGGTCTCAGGAAATCTTCCCTATCAATTCCTGTTACTATTTTGTATGTAGTGATCATATTACCTCTTTTTCTTCTGTCTTCTAGTTTTGGCATATTTAATGCCTCTAACCTCTCCTCGTAGCTCTTGCCCTTCAGTTCTGGGAGCCACTTAGTAGCATGTTTTTGCACCTTTTCCAGTTTGTTGACGTGCTTGTATATATATGACTGTTGCCACGGTCGATTGACCGTGGCGACCGTCAATCGAAGGAGTTCTAGGCCTACTGGGGACCAGAGACAGAACCTGGGCCCCCCTCAAGAGAGGCACGAGGAGAAATGGCCTAAAGACACCCCTGTGTAATTGGAAGCAGTCTTTGTCTGCCATCTACCAGGTCAGGCACCCATAAAGGTAGGAATTCCAAAACAAACTACTGCTGATCAATAATTGCAAACCGAAAGCTGAACTAGCAAGCAGAACTCCCCAATCAAAAACAAGCAAACAAACATGACATCACTACAACCTCCTCAGTTTAGAGGTTGAATATCAGAAACGCGAAATAACCACCAACCAGAGGGAGGGAGGGAGGGATGCCGGGGAGCCTCCGGGGTCTTACCCAGAAAATGACGTTTCATTACATTCAACGTTGGTTTTTTAGCATTCACGGTTACTGATCTGCAAACCATAGTTTATTCTCATATTTAAATTCGTATTTGCATTGTCGTGAATTTCAAATTTTTATTTTATTTATTTATTTATTTATTTATATATATACAATACAATATTTATATATATACAATACAAGTCTCCCAGGTCGTCCGCAGAGTTTTCATTCTTCCAGCCTGCGGTCTGTCTTTGCGCCCGTGCTGTTCAGACGTTTGCAGCTTTTGCTGCTGTGTTGGCGACGTCTAGGGCTCATTTCGTGTGCAGGAATTTGTGGGTCGCACAGGTTCTTGGCCACCCATCCTTATACGTGTCTGCTCCTGGGCGTTCTTGTTGCCTTGGGTTGCAGGTTTGCGACCGGTTGTCTTGGCTTTGCGTTGCAGAGTTTGTGGCGGCCGCCTCCCGGGTTAGCCCTTTCTTTTCCTTCTCGTTGGGTATGAAGCTCCAGGGAGTCGTAGAGGCTCCCCACAGAAAACCAGCGTCGAATGTAATGAAACGCCATTTTCTGGGTGAGCCCCGGAGGCTCCCTGGCAACCCTCCCTCCCACCAGTCGGCGGTTTTTTCGCGTTGGTTGAAGCTTAGCTTCCGAACTGAAGCTTGGCAGTCGGCGCGGTAGGTCCGGGGCTCCCCCCTCCCCCTCCCAGGGCGGAGAGGGCTGTGCGGACGATCGGCGCGGCAGTAAAGTGTGATGTTTGCTTGTTTGCTTGTTTCCTTGTGATTGTAGGGAGTTTCTACCTCTCTGTTCGGCTTTTGTTTTAGTTGTTTACCATGTGGGGTTTGTTTTGTTATGCCTACCTTTCTGGGTGCCTAACCCCGGTCGATGGCAGATAAGGAAAACCCCAACCACAAGGGGTTTTCCAGGGCCATTGCTCCCTGAAACCTCTCTGATGGGGCCAGGTTCTGGCGCTGGTCTCTGGTAGGTCTGAACTCCTTGGCTAATGTCCCGGTCTAATATAACATACATTAGCCCGATAAGCTCCAGGGAGCCGTAGGGGCTCCCCACAGAAAAAGTGGATGTGATTGGTGTCTAAAGCAAACGATAGTGTTAATCGCTTCCTCGTTGGCCTCTGCCTGGGCCCTGGCTTTTTGTTTTTGTCGCCATATTGTCCTTGTTGTTTGCAGTCTATGGTTCGGCTCTTCTGCAAGTGGCGGCTTCTCGTTGTCATTCGTTCTTGGCTTTGTTGGTCCTTTTGGGGTCCTGCAGGGGTTTCTCCCGGACAGGGAATATCTGCTCGCCCGGGTTGGTTCCTTCCTGGCTCACCGGGTTTATTTTCCTGATTCCCCAGCGAATGTTCCTTCTGGTTTCTTGCCGGCCTTGGTTTGGTCGCCGCTTGCTCGGTGTCCGACCTTGGGGGTTTCCCCTCCCCACTCCGACTCTTTCAGAAGATCGACCCATTTCGTTATGAGACTGTTTCGCTCTTCTCCTAGGGTCTTCGAGTTTGGTATTTTGACTCAAGTTCATCACCAGTTGTATGGTGATGAGGTGGCTTCGTTGATGGTGTCCCACCTGCGAGCTTCGTCTCTGCAGCAGTATGAAGTTTCCTGGCGGCCATTCCGTTTTTTTTTTTTTTTTTTTTAACTCTTCGTCGTTTTATTCCCCTTTGAGTTTGGGTGGTGTTGTCCTTTCTCTTGTGGTTGTTCCAGGACCATCTTCTTATGCCACATACTGTCGCATCGTATTGTGCGGTGCTGGCGGAGCCATTTCAGTTTGCTTTTGGTGTAGATGTTACTTCTACGCCATTTCATGAGCTGTCTCATGCGTTGTGTCACCTCAGGCCTGCTCATGTGCTGCTTGAACCGTCCTGGTCTTTGGACAGAGTGCTCTCCTTTTCTCTCTTCACCTCGGTTTGTTGTGGCCCCTTCGGTTCAGGATTGTTTTTCAAAGGCTCTTTTCTTGTTGGCATTGGCCTCTGGGGCCAATGCCAATAAGATTGGCAGAGGCTTCTGCTCTTTTGGTCCTCGTGGTAGGTTTGTTTGTCTGCAGCCGTCTCTTTCTTTTCTGGCGGAGAATGAGACTGCTGCTTTCCGGAGGGGTCCTTAGGTTGTTGATGCTTAGTTGGTCAAGGGTGCATCATGTTTTGTGTCTAGTTGCCGCCCTCCACCGTTATTTGCGCGCCACTGCTTCTGTGTCCGGGGACACGCTTTGGGTTGATCCGGCTTCCCTTCTTCCCTGTTCGCAGGTACGGGTCTGACGAGTCGTCTGCAGGGTTATTAGGTCTAGCCAACCTGCGGTCTATCCGCGTGCCCATGACATTCGTCAGTTTGCTGCTCTTGCTGCCATTTTTTGGAACATGTCCTGGGCTGACATTCGGGCATAGGGTTTTTGGCGGTCAAACAGGGTCCTGGCTGCAAGCTACCTCGTGAACGTTCCTGAGCGTAGTCGGGCCTGTGTCACTTTGGGTCGGCGGCTGCAGCCTGTCTCAGCTTCGAGTTGAGGTGTGGGCACCGACCGCTTCCTGGTTAAGTCCCCTTTTTTCTTAGTCTTTGATGAAGTAGCTCTGGGAAGCCGTAGGGGATCCCCACCCCCCCCTTCAGGAAACCAGCGTTGAATGTAATGAAACGCCATTTTCTGGGTGAGTCCCGGACACTCCCCGACAACCCACATTCCCTCTGGTCGGCAGTTTTCGCTTATTTTGATATCCAGCCTTGTAACTGAAGGTGTTGATCACCAGCGCGAGGGTCTGCGGCTCCCCCTTTCCCCTCTTGGGGAAGATGGAGCTGCGTAGACGTGCGGCGTAGCTCGTTTGACGTCATGCTTGTTTGCTCATTTTTCCTTGGGGGAGTTCTATCCATTTGTCTCGTTATTTTCGTTGGTTTTACTAAAATAGGGGTTTGTTTTGAGGCGCTTACCTCTCTGAGTGCCTGTTTCGTTGGATGGCAGACATAGAATGCTCCAAAATCACATATGCATTTCTATAGGCAATTGCTCCCCGTGCCGCTCTGAGGCGGCCAGCTTCTGGCTGTGGTCCCCGGTAGGCCTAGAACTCCACCCACATCAACTGATGCCAAAAGTTAGGACTATCCCTATCAGCCTTGACCTAGATTCAGGAAGCTCTGTGTATTTCTTCGTAAGTGGGTTTGCTACGAAGGTTCCCAAGCGTGCCCTAAGAAGATGCTTAGGTGCGATTCAATAAGGTCCACTTAGGAAGAAATTTGTTGGTTCACCTACGTGCCGATAGAGGTCACTACTGTGTTTCGTTTGGCCAATCAGAGAGCAGCAACATTCTTCATATTGAAGATTTAGCGCTGGTTTATCGGAGCTCTACTGCCTCCTATTTACGTCGAATTTTCTTATAAAATTAGTATATTTCGAAGTAAAACAATGTTTTTTCAACTTCTACAGCCAGCACCGACATTGTAGTAAACAAATATGTTACATTTGTTGTTTACCTACGTAATTCTAAGAGATACTGTGTAGTTGTTCTTGTTGCTCGGAAGATGCGCTGACAATTATTGTATATATTTACTGAATTTACCCAAGGGCCACTAACTATCTAGTGACCTCGAAGAGGACAGAAAGCCGGCGGCTTGTTAAAGGGCCCGCCAATTGTCTTAATGATATTTTTTAGCTGGAATTTGGCATTTACGGCTTCAGCGGGTAGGCGGTTCCATGGGTTTATAGCCCTCTTGGTGGAAAAAAACATGTTTTCAGTCCTACTTGAGAGAACATACTCTCCAACACTATATCTGTGATTGTCCTGTTATCAGTGACTTCATACCAAATGGTATGAGGTATTTTGAGCACTGTAATTACTTCATACACTCAGGAATATTGGAAGATATTCTTGTGCT